AACACCTTGCAGTGGCCAACTACCGTGGCGATGCTACTTACAATGTAAACTCCAAGGTGTACAGATGGATCACCACCACCACCACCACGACCCGTACGGTCACATCCACCTTTACGTCTAGCACGACCACGCGAGTCGAGCCGGACTCGACGCTGGCAGCCACCGAGTTTCTGGATCCTTATAGTTTTGCTCTTTTTTGTTGGGATCTGTTTAAGCCCGATTAATTGGAAAACGGGCGCCCTTATTCCATAAGGGTTACTGGCGAACCTAGGTTTGCATTCGCTGATGTCGGAGCTTGGTCTTTAGTTGCGCTCGGCGGTTATTTGGCGGTCTTGTCACTGCTGGTCCTCATGGCCAAGTTGTGGACAAAGGCAGGCTCCCAACGCCCCCGACACTGGTCTCTCGTTAAAGAAATTGGTTCTATGTTACCATAATAGGGATCTACAGTAAATAATATGGCTTCCTCATTAACTTAAAATTCAGTTCCTTAACTCTATAAACCCTTTTGAAAACCTATTAGAACCCACTAAAACTCATTAAAACCCTAAACCCTATTCAAACCCTACTAAGTTCCTGAACAAAAGCCCAGGACAACCTGCGGAGGCTCAGGCGCTTGGCCGTGCCACGGAGTCGCTCCCGGAATCGGTTGGACCGCAAGCTGAACAAAAGTTCCGTAACAAAATCCCTTAAAGGATCCGAGAACCCCGTCAGTTCCTAGGACCAATGCGACCATCGCAAGCAGAGCAGCGCTTGGCAGAAACCCGGGAGATGCCGTTGAAGCGCAAGCTGAAAAGGTCCCGGCAGCTGTTCGCAGCGACGATGTTCTTGGAGTCCGGAAACCTCGTGTCAACGCCTCTTGCCTCCGAGGTTAGAGAGATTGCAAGACGCTAGCTAAGCCGCGCGTGGTTTTGTTTTGGTAAGCAAATGCAAGCCACTCTCCCCAAATCGCCTTGGAGATCGAAGACCGAGCTGGTTGTGGGTTGGTTGTGGTACGGACAATCCGATGCCCCATGTATGTTCGAAGATCAGTCTGTGGGAGCTGGGGGGAAGGAAGAGATGCAGAGGAGGAACACCGGTCAGTCTAGTTTCGAATCTTGCCAAGGATGCTCTACGCTGTGGAGGCCTTTCAACGGGCCACGCTCGTGGACTTTTCGGTGGCATGCGGCTCCGCCGTTCTGATGCCGCTAACAAGCGCTCACTGCCCAAGCACGAGCGAGATCCTTCAATTGCCACTCTGCGATTCGACGCTGAGTTTGAACACTCTGTGCGAAGCAGATGCCGAGGCGAGGGCAAGAGATTGAGAGCCTGTAAGGAACAGAAAGTATCCTGAGGGACACTATTTTACTTATACCCGGACTGCATACGGAGCCTCCGTGCCAGGTGCTCACTGACAACTGTCAGGTGTTCAGCCCGCTGGACAACTGTAAACACTACGACGTCTACCGGAAGGAAGAGCCAGCCTGTGAAGCGATTGGCTGTGCAGAGCTCTCCTACTTCTTGTGGATGTCAGCTCTGATATGCTTCGGGGCTACGGTGGGATGCATCGCAGCCTTCTATGCTCGTTGCCTGTGGGTGGGACAACGACAGGAAGCCCGGCGCCTGCAGCAGCGCTTCGCTGCATTCTTCATCTTCCTCGGTTGCTTGATTATGATAGCACTACTTGTTGGCTTAACGGCCGGCAACGCTGCGGTCCTCTCCATGGTCTTCCTCTGCCCTCTAATGCCGATCTCGGCCTGGGCCTTGGCTGGGGGAATCGCTTTCTTGCCGGCGGCGGGAGAGGAGGCTCCGTCTGCACTCAAAACCTCATGCTTCCCCATGTCTGACATTTTTGGGGCAGATCAGTTCTAGCAGGGGCTGCCCGCCGGTTGTCCTTGCCATGGCGAAATTCGAACTCGCGCCGTGCGCATTTTGCGCGACTCGTCTTTCCAACTCCACAAATCGCCGGTATGGTGTCCACGGACTCGTACGGTGGTCTCGGGAGCCTGAAGGGTGGACTTCACGGGAATCTTCACTGTTTCGGTGCTAGCATCATGTTTTAACCCCTCAGATCACGTCCCTCCCGTGGATGCCTCGTCGCGTCGCAGGCCATCGTGAACCAGGCCGCGGGCTTAGAGCTTCCCTTCTTCAACGTATTTCTCGCTTTGCAGTTGTTGCTTGGCCTTGGATTCTAGAGGTTTAGGGTTTAGGGCAAAGTTTAGGGTTTAGGGATTCTAGAGGGTTCTAGGAGCGTTTAAGGTTGTAGGGCCGTGGAATGCGCCTTCCAGGACCGAAGACGATGTGGAGGACATCCGTTCCTTTCGGGAGACTCTTGACACGGGCCTCCGAGTCGTGGAAGACGTTCCAGAGATCGTCATTGGCCTCCTTGACTTGGTCTCTCAGCATTTCAGCTCTCTTCGAGAACCCAAGCTTTTTGTTGAGGGTCCTTCCATGAGAAAGCCTGTTTCTTATGCTGCTATCTTCATAAGGGGGCACATGCTGAGGTCTATTTTGGGGGTGCCTGGCATCTTCCCTGACAATTTGCAGCATTCTCCTTTTGAATCTGCAGGGTTTACGTTCTGACATGGATACATCACATTGCTTCAAATAGCGCATGTCAGGTATACTTGGCTGGGAATTGGCATGTCACTGGCGATGGTAGCAGTACACCTGGCGGTTGGCTTCTTCCTCTCGTGCAAGGAGAGCGCGATGCAACTCGCAGAGGTGCGGCGGAACCCTCGTGACAGAGAGTGACACGGATTCATCGGGAAGTGGCGCCGGCTCTGCCACGAAACCTGTCGTCAGGAACTAGTTGAAGCCAGCTTGCTGAACATGGCAAGAGGCCAGCGGATCCCACGCGATACCCAAGTGGCAAGCGGCCCTTCCACCGACAGAGACAAAGCGCCTGCAGCGAGCTCTCGGGCTAGCGTCATGAATTCGACTCTGCTTCGTTTGTTTCACAGGCGTCGGCCCTTAGGGGAAACTGGGACCCTGTCAACCTCATTTGTGCTTTCTGCTTCCTCCGAAATTCCTTTCGCGAGAACATCACCCTAGCTTTTTTTCTACTATTGTAGCTTTTATTGCCAGAAGGCAAGAATGGGGTGACATGGCAGTAGAAGCTAACGAAACTCCCACGGATCCTCAAAAATGTTACTGTGATTCTGGGTCCAAGGGGGCTTCAGAACTGAAGAAAAAGGTATCCCCAAAGGGCCGAAGCCTCAGTCCGTTGAGGAAATGGCCTCAACCCAGCTTCCACGGTTGCGAGACTCATTGAGTTGATGAACAAAATGCTGCATGAACTATGCCATAATACATATCTTGGAATGTACCACTATTTGCGGTACTTGAGGTCCGTTAGGCAATGCAGGATTGGGTCCGTCAGGGTTTACCTTAACCGTAACCCCCATGTATGTTATACAGAGGAGGACACAAGCATATCCGCTTTTCTGCTAGCCCACAGCAAGAAGATCCTCCGTTATTCAATATTGAGGACAAAGCGATATATATATATATATATATGTATATATTAATATATACATATATATA